AGTAAATATGATCAAACACTCTGATTGAAAGTAAAGTCAAAGTTCTAGCTCCCTCCTGATTTGAAGCCGTGTTCTAATGATGGGAGCTTCAGCCACATATGAGTCTTCCTCCTCATCTTCGCATTTTGATCCCTCGGGTACAGGTTCTGTTGGTGCTGGCCTCGCCTCTTCTCTTCTATGAAGAACCCCGCTCCTGTTTATTGCGGCCAATCTACTGAAATATCTGGAAGTCTGGGTAGATGTCAGCCACTCGTCTTTGGTGAACACCTTAAAAAAAATATTTGCAATAATAGCTGCAAACACCACTCGTGTTTTTTTTCCGCATATATTTACTTCTGCATTTTGGCAGTTATCTGTGTATTTATATCTGTATTTCTGCATTTATGTACTTGTGAATTTCTGCATGTATTTATATATTTATGTATTTGTACATGAATTTATTTTTGTATTTTGCATTTAATTGTTTATGTGTTTTTGCATGTTTTTTTTTTTGTCCCCTGTATTTCTAAATTTCTGGAATGATTTAATTCCGTATTTCTACTTTTTCTATGTACTTCTGCATTTATTCATGTTTTTTTAAAAACTTTTTTTCTTTCTTTAGTTCTAGATCCCCATATTTCTTTATTTATTCTAAGTTTCTATGTTTCTTTTTCTTTTCTTTTCTTTCTTTTTTTTTTTTTTTACTGTGATGGCCCAATGTCAGCTGCTGCCATGGAGGCCTACATACCATTTACCTGTGGGTCATCAGGATGGCCCATAAAGTTCAGTCATCTCTCTTCTTGCGCTCTCTCTCACTCATTCTGACCTGGCTTTGTTGATGGTGACACATCTTTCTTTTTGCTTTGTTTCTGCTCTACAACACCTTACATCCTATCATGTTCACTCATTCACACCTACACTACTGATACTACTGAGTCTGATCGTCACACGCCATATTTATTATTATTTGTTACATGGTTTGCTTTTGGTTAAATTAAATATCCTTATTTTGAGTTAAATCTGTGTTCCTTGCCATATTTGTTACTACATTTAGTTATTCATTTCTTTCTGTAGTTCTACATCGATTTATTTTTGTATTTGCACTTATTTATTACATGCATTTACTTTTATTTCCGCATATTTACATTCCTGTATATATTTATTTGTACATTTTT